ATAGGGGCACTGTTATCTCAAAAGGACAATTGCATGCATGTGCAGACATAGTAGAGACATGCAGCCTGTGCATGTATAGAGAAACCCTGGGAACTCCCTGGCAGAGACTTGCTGCATGTCTGCACATGCGCTGGGATCGCAGGGGTCTCTCACATACGTGAGCATGCCGTGGCTGTTTGAGTCCTGTCAGTGACCGGCGGTGTGTCTGCACATGCATGGGAACTCATAGCTATAACAGTGCAATACTACCTCCTGGGATGTTTACGTCACACTTCGGATACAGCGGCAGGCTGTATCGACGTCATCAATATATAATATACATCATATAAAAATAATTATTATAACACTGTGGAAATTTCATTCTTAAACAAAGGATGCAGTCATTTCTGGGAATGCAATTTTGGAATTGGTGACGGTGATGGAAATCCTGGCGTCTTGGCAATGGTCTCATAGTATTTTGTCATAGCTAGTTATATGAAATCCTGAGGTTTCATATTAAGTCTTGACCACAATGATGATTTTGACCTAAGTACTTCCGCAATACTTGCTTGTAAAATCCAAGTGCTGTCCAAAAACTGTGATCAGAGGCACGTCACACGCTTTAGAGGGTAGGCTTTCAGCTTGCTGAGAGTCCAGCCAGTCCTATAGAGGGCAGCAGCTCCATGTCAACCTAAAAGACGTATGTGGATTGATTCTTCAGTAAATGTGAGGGATTACAGGTTTAATTGGCAAATGTAAGGTTTGGGTTGCTGGTGTTCCAGACAGAGTGGGAAAGTGATGAAGGTGGCGAACACAAGGAGTGGGTTACAGCTTACATTGAGCACTAGAATGATAAGAGCAGTGCCCTTTTCTGCTACGCCTACACGCAGGTTGGGTTGCCACCTTTTTTTCAAGCGAAACCCGAACACTCTAGCGACACGCTTTTTGGGATAATGAGTCGTGGTTTATTCATATGTAAATAGCGCCACCCATTCATATGTAAATGTCACAGTTGAGACTATTTTCATTAGGGGGTCAGTAGCCCCTATCTTAATTTTGGTTGCCCCTGTCTGTCTGACATCTTGTGTCTGGGTTTCTGCTGCCATGAAACCTGGACACAGCATTCAAAATGTGACACAGGTGACTGGTCAAAAGCATCTTTAGTGCCACCTGTACAATTTAGCGCTTCAGCCATCGCACGACAAATGGGATCCCACTGGCTCCTATGGGGCTCATTCACCCTTATGCGTTGCGCTGCCATGCAATTGAAAACAGTGCAGGTGCTTTTTTAGGTGTTA